GATGTTTACCTCACCACCCACCCAGCAGGAATTGGCCTATATCAGTACGACTCTAGCATCATTTGCCTTATGCGGCATTAATGTGAAACGGGTCCTTTACTTTACTTGACCTCTGGAATCTCTTGCCCAGTGAGCAGCGGTGGCCCAGTCGCAGCACTCCTATGTGACAACGCTGCTGTTGTGAGTTCAAAAATAAGTCGTGGAGTGGGTTATTTTGTAAAAGACAAGGAAAAAAAAAGTTTTTTCTAGCCTAGAATTTAGTGGTTGCATATGAAATGTTTCATGCTATGCAGTAATCTAAAAGGCATGGGATGCCCTTGGGTGTTTGTGTTGATCTTTAATTTATTTTTATTGATTGTTATAATAGGTGCAGCTGAATGTTATCAACTATAGATATACGTGTACATAAATCATGTCTCGTTGTCTTTCATTCCATCACTCTCTGTCTCTCACGCTCTGTAATTGTGTAAAGATGTAGGCGTATGTATGGATGTGTGTATATATGCATGTATGTGTGTATGTATGTATGTATGTATGTTTGCATGTGAGTGTAAATGTGTGGTTGTGGGTGTCTGTACATGTGATTGTATGTGTGTGTATGCATGCATGCATGTGTAGGTGTGTATGTATAGAATGTGTGTGTGTGCATGTATGTCCATATATATATGTGTGTATCTCTTCTGTTTGTGTGTGAATGTAGATGCATGTATGTATGTATTAGGCATGTCTGTATATGAGTGTGCATGTATGAGAATGTAAGAGTATATATACGTGTGTGTGAGTGTATAAGATTGTGTACACATGATGTGTGTATGCATTATTCTGTAATGTATATTTCTTCATTATATCCATTACATACATTATTGATCGGTACTCTGAAAAATGAGTGCTTAGAAGAGCCGAATGTCAGACAGGCCTGCGTGCCCCAATTGTAACCCTTTGAAAAAAAAGTTCGTTCGTTCGTTCGTTCGTTTTCTCTTTTCTCTCTATTTATATCTCTTTACTTGTTTTCACTGTGTGCCTCTGCCAAACATAAATACTGTGGTTTGCATTCATTGTGTCTGACCGTCTGTCTCGCTTTTATCAGGTAGTCTTATGACTCTCTCTCTCTCTCTCTCTCTCTCTCTCTCTCTCTCTGTGTGTGTGTGTGTATACCTTGCCACACATTTATAGACTCATTGTATCGTTGACTGTAAGTCTCTCTCTTTCTCTCCCCCCCCCCTCTCTTTCTCTCTCAAAGATATTATAACAAGAAACATTTCTACTTTCTCAGACATGTCACAACATCCAAGTAAATGGGAAAGTATTAGAACAAGTGATATGTTTCTCCAATTATAGACAATTAACACCATTCCAGTAAAAGAGGAAGTATTAGAACAAGGGACACGTTTCTCCACTTTTAGACAAGTAACACCATCCCAATAAATAATGAAGTATCAGAATAAGTGATCAGTTTCTCCATTATTGGACAAGTAACACCATCCCATAAAGGGTGAAGTATCAGAACTAGTGATACTTTTCTCAAGTCTTTGACAAAAAACAACATCCCAGTAAATGGTGAAGTATTAGAACAAGTGATACATTTCTTGAGTTATATACATGTATTAACATTCCACCAGCGAGCTAATTGCGACTCATCCGTCCATATTGGATCATGGAGATTATGCCATGTTTGTTTATTAAAGTAAAGATCCCATTGCCACGACTTTTATAGCCCAATGGAAATATAGTGGGTAATGTGGTCAAGCATGACCCCAGCCGCCTTTACTTCTCAGGAGTTTACCTGGTAATATTTTGAAGATAGATCTTTCTGAGAGTCAAAAGTTATTTGTGAACCAAAGTCCGACGCCATCAGGACCTAAAATAGCGACCTTCGCCTCCGCAGGCAAATATTCATGGCGGCTCCGAATGATGATAATAATCATAATTATGCAAATTATGGTTATTATCCTCAATAGTATTATTTGCTGACTGGCACATAAATATAATAATATATTTAAAAAAAAATATAAAATGTCTAAATAAGCATTTAAGAAGAGAACGCCTATACTTGGTAAGTTTTCAGTTGCTTTGCCGATTTGCAGATTTCTATGGGCATTGGTCAGGTTCCAAAAAGCCGAGAAAAACATTTGGTTAAGGTGACCGAGGACCCACGTTCCAGCACCGTTACCAGTATTTGTTTTCGGATAACCGCCTCCTCACCCCCCCCCCCCCCCTCCTGCCCACCCTTCCCTCTTTATTTGATAAAAGTTATCACAATTCAGATTTCTTGTGGCGTCTAGAATAATAAATGGCATATTTTGGTCTTTACAAAGCTTGAGCTCAGTTGTAATCAGTTCAGAGCAGATATCATGACATTCGGGGCATTGCCATAAGAGTTCCGTCCCAATATTCAGCAGCCAGCGAAGAGTTACTATTATGTTACAATCAGTAGAGATGTGTGTCCCTCCTCCATTTCCTATCCGCGTAGAGTGTCTACATCGCTATGTGGGCACCGGGACTCAGTTTTGGGGAAGAGGAATAGACTCACTGCTCCCTAACAAGCATGTCGTAAACGACGACTATTTATGGGTTTTTTTTTCTTCGAAATTCTAGTGCAATTTCTGGAGGGCTAATCTGGAACAAGACCAAATTCCAGAAGTTGACGAACAACAAAATTTAGTTTTCTGACGGAGGTTTCAGCTGGTCATGATTCTATGTGGTCTCCTTTTTTTGCCTGGTTCTTCTTCTTCTTCTTCGCGTTCACCAGCTGTTCACTCTGGCGAAAAGTTTTGGTTGATCGTCCACTACTGAACTGCAGTCCTGCTCCAGAATCTGAGTGTTGCATGTGCATCAGTTTTACAGATCTCAATCTCTTCAAAACAGACTGTTAGTTCCTTGCCTCTCCGGCAGATGCACTCCGACTTAAAAGGAAGCTCCCCAATTATTCGACTCTTACGACATGCTTGTTGGGGAGGCAGTGGGTCTATTCTTGTTTTCCCCCACAATGGGACCCCGGAACCCACACGGGGGGTAGGCTGGTCGACCTGGTAGCCAAGGTTGTTTGAGAAACAAATCCGACTCAATGCGGTTTCGAACCGAAAACGTTCGGGAACCTATGATGGTCTCAAAGTGAATGTAACATAATTACTACATTTCTGGTGTTTTTATTAATTGGCACTATACCAGCACTGTTGCTGAAAGAGTCAACAGTTTTCGAAGTTACCGTGTTGACTCCACTTTTCAGATTTGAATCGTTTTCATGTTCTATGTGAACTGCCAACTGCCAATTAGTGCCTTTATTATACCACTTTTGCGGTGTAGGCAGGGGGTCCTATAACCATAGGAAGGATTTACGGCGGCATGGATAGCGCTGGTGACCACACTGTGCAAGTGAGGATTTTATTTTGCTTCTGACAGGAAAACAAACACCCTTCCTCACCGACGATTTGAACCCGTATCTCCCCCATGAGAGCCCAGCGTTCTAACTGTTCGACTAGCTGTTCTATGTCAGTTACTTTTATTTGTTTCTCATTGTGTTTTCTGAGCTATAAGTACTTGTATGTATTTGTGTTTTAACTCTTTCGGTTTATAATTCCAATTACACATTGGGCACTGACATGAGTGCCAAGTCCTCCTATTCAGCAGCCACTCTAAGGGACTAAGGACGGTTTAAGGGGAGCTGTATGGTCTCGAGGCATGGTGTCCGCCTCGAGTCCTGGAGGATCCGGGTTCAGTCCGAGGTAGTGGCTGGGATTTTTGTCATGTGGGCTTGGACTTCTAGTAAAATCACCTGGTCTCCGGGTAGTCTGATCGGCTGCAAATGGAAAAGAGTAGCCCAACGGCGCTGGCCGGGCAAAATTATGAGTTAAAAATCTACCCAAAGTATTTCAGGATCCTCGCCGGTGTTACAGAGCCTGTGCACTGTGCCGAGCATCTTCGTATTCAGACTTGGATAAGAAAAAGAACGAAACACTTATGGGTTACTACCCGGGTACCATGATGTTGATCCGTTGTTCAACACCTCAAAACCTTAGGACGGTTCTCATGAGAAGTTGGTTATAACGTCTCCAGTTTTGACTTCGAAGATGGCATATAGATGCTTCACCAGCTTCACTCCCAAGTCAAACATTCGTGTAAGGGTCAAAGATTTTATATTTTTGTCGTCGTATCTGAGCACGATCGATGGAACTCCGTAGTTCGAGCAAGGATCTCTCTGCATGTATTTTTGCTTACACATGTGTGTGTTTGTGTGTGTGAGTGTATGCATGCCTTCTGTGTGTGTATGAGAGAGAGAGAGAGAGAAAACGAGAAAGAGAGAGTGAGAGAGAGAGAGAAAGTAAACGAACAAACAAATATTCTTTTCAGATTAGGAATTGAACCATTAACCCGTCAACTATTTTGCGAGAGAGAGAGAGAGAGAGAGAGAGAGAGAGAGAGAGAGAGAGAGAGAGAGAGAGAGAGAGAGAGAGAGAGAGAGAGAGAGAGAAAGTTTATGCATAGACTTGCACACACATATATTGGTTTTGAGTCTACAAATATGGATCCAGTTGTGTCATGCGAGCAAAGACAGCCGGCGTAACGCTGACCACATTACCCACCTAGTGTCGATTTGTCTGTAAAGATTAGGGATGCTTTTCCCTGTGCCCAATGCGCCTAAGGAGTGAAAAGGGATCTTTACTTTACAAGACATGCGATGATTTGTAACTAACTTCATTGTTCTCTGTTACACAGAGTCAAGCCTAGATGTGTCTGTTGTATACTTCTATCATTTACACCTAATGACGACGTTAATATTTCCACAGAAACCTCATCTGCATTAACACAATGACTTCTTCTTCTTTCCGATTTCTCTGCCCGTGGTTTTCATAAAAGAAGGCCCCAGACCTCCATGAAGTCGTATGGTGTGACGCACGTCTTCCACTGTTCCATACAGAATGCTTCAATTGAAACGCCAACCAGTCACTTTTAGATCTCTCCAAACAATGTGACTAAGTACACAAACCGTTCCTAGAAACACATCACGAAGTACTGCCAATCCTGTTCAACATTCTATTAAAAACATGTTTCACTTGTTGGGCTGATGATCGCCGTCTACCCTTGGACTCCATCATTTTTCGCCGTCTTATATCTCGGTGAAGTTCGTAAAAGATTTCAGATATTTCTTGGCCACCATCCCTGGCAGATGTTTCAAAAAACCCACAACACAGCTCCTGAGCCAGAGCCTCGCCCTCTTCTGTTGCCACTCGTCGCTCATGCAGCAGGTCAGCCTAAATGTTGACAAGAAAAAGAAATCTGCTGTTAAGATAATATTTTTCTTCATCTGATTAGGGTATTCTCTCCAGGTCATACCGGTTTGTTGGGACATGAGCATGCAAATAGACTGGCTGATTCTGCATCATTTAGTGGTGAACTGATGTGTGACAAGCCAGACGTTGTCGGGGCCCTCAGGGAGCGAATGACAGTGCGGAAGCGCACATAGATCATTACGATCTGTAGAGAATTGCGCTCTAAGGGGTTACCAGGGGATCTGGCCTACGCTCAACCTCAAGGGAAGGCCGAGACGGATATACAATCAGACAGTTACTGGTGCCATCGGAACTGGAACTCTCCGTTTGCTGCTGAAGATGGGGACGGAATGCTTATGGGGTGTCCCGGTGCGATGATGTCGATCCTCAATTCAACATTCAACATTCTTTATACCTAGTTAGGAAACATTTCCGTGTGAGTTCTGGAATCATACTATGTGAGTTTTGGGGGTAAAGGAGGTGAGGGGGAGAGGGGGGGGGGATTGCGGTAAGAGCATGAATAGGTAAACTGCACCCCCAACCGGCATGCCATAAAAGACTATTAATTCAGGGTTTTCCCTTAAAGTCTGCCTAAGAAGTGAGGAAGCAACAGTCTGCCTACAGGTTAGCCAGGTCTGTAAAGTAAAATGGATGTTTACCCACAACTCAAGTTCTTGAACAAGACCAAAGGCCACAAGTGGACAAACTAGCAAAACTTCGCAGTGGAGTTTACAGCCGATGAAAGCTAAGAAGTTATAGATCAGGAAACTCCTGCAGAAAAAAAGAAATCACTCCAATAGTTTAATGTCATGTAATGCCCCAAATCAAATGGTTTGACCATGTAACAAGATTGTGATCAGACAGGGCACCATACAGAGCAATGTTTTATAAGTACAACGTAACATTCCAGAGGTCGACAACACAGAAGATGGATTACTGAAATATCAGAGACACTGAAAAGTACTTTATACGAAGCGAACAGAAGGGCCCGTATCAGAGATCTCTTCCTGTCCTGACGTTGTAAGGCATTTCAGGAGTAGAGGAAAGAAGAACCGATTCATTGCTTGCAACTGAAAGCGTTCACCATACACACCTCCCCCAACACTAAGCAACTGTACGAAGTACCAACACTTTTTTAGGCAGATCTTTTCCCGACATGACTAAAATAGACCCTTTGTGGTGAACACTATCACCTTTTTTTTTTTTTTTTTTCCAATTTTGTTCTTAGAAGAAAAAGTCTTTGGTAGAACCAACCTTGTTTCCAACCAACAGACATTGAATGCTGGTTTTCTTGATCGTGTCCAGCTGCTGCTTGAGCTCCCCCACTGCCAGAAAACTCTGCCGGTCATTGATAGCGTACACAAGGATGTAGCCATCTGCCCAGCGGAAGTTGCCCTCGTGTTGAGTTGTCTCCTCCTGATGGGTCTGCCAAGAGAAAATTAATCGCTAACAGTGGAGTTGAAAACAGTTACACAACATTCATTGTTAATTATCGACAGCATGACGACAAGCCCTGCTTTTCAGCCTTGTCAGTGATAAATCATCATCTCACACGAACACTTAAGATGTTGCTTGGTCTCGAAGCATGGTGTCTGCCTCGAGTGCTAGAGCTTCCGGGTTCAATCCCCAGTAAGGGCTGGAATTTTCTCACGTGGACTTGGACTTCACACTGGTCTCTGTACCGGTGCTACAGAATCTGTGCACTGTGCTGCGCTTCTTCGGGCACAGACTTGAGTTAGAAGAAGAACTGAGCACGTATGGGTTACTACCCGTGTGCCATGATGTTGATCCGTTGGCAAACCTCAAACACGAACACTAAATACATGGATCAAGTCAGAGCTGATGTTGCTCCTAGTTCATAAGGCCAGTGTACTCAGATTTGTATTTATATCTCTGCCTTTCTATTGATATTGTCCCAGCAATCTTGCCAGTTCTCGAGCCACTACGTTAGTCTAAGGTTTATTGTGAGCAAAGATCAAGTTGTGACACCCACTGGAAACAACCACTCTGGGCAACAGATTACTTTTCAACCTTTTGATTTTCCAATAAAACTGTCGTATTCAGCTAAACAGGGTATCTGGGTTTTGCTTCTGTTTGATTCACATCCGAATAGTAGACATTTGAGGCATTGTGTACCTTAAAACCGGCAGAAAAAAAGAAACAAAAACTGTGACAACTTTAAAGGTTTAAGATTTGTGGAAACAAGGATAGATGAAGACAATGACAGAACGACCTTTTTTTTTTTTTTAGGGTTACAAAATGAGCGTGCAGGTGCTTTTTAGATTCGGTTCTTCCAAACACGCATCGTTCACACAGATTCTGTATTTTAGCAATAAAGCACGTTTGTACATATATTGATTTGCTTAATATAAATATCAAGACGAAATAACAGAAAAGCTTGGATGGTAAATTTATGCGCGCATGCACACACCCCTTACCTTACGTGTTTTAATGAATGGTGCCTGCTTAAGGTACCAGAGAGTGAGCAACAAGAAGAGAAAGACTGAACAAGGCCAATCAAAGTGCCCTTTATATAATAAAGAACAATATTCGAGATTCATTGTAAGCGTCCTTCGGGTAAAAACGACAACACAAACACTGCGAACTGTTGTGCCTTATCAGTCTGTAGTTTGCTTCGTAAAAGTGGGTACCCTAATATTTAATACTCACTAAAGGTACCCCATCTATTCAGAGGCGAATTTCGTAGCAGTTACCAAAGACCTATATTGTAGGGGTGTTATGAGATGTCTTCCTTCACAGGCTATACACAGCGTGCCCAAGAGGGTCTCGTGTTCGTTCGACACGATCAACACACTGTCTCATAAACGAAACTGCGCACTTTTCTTTTCATAACTTGTTTTTCTGTGAACGACTGTTGTTTCTGGAATGTGTTGTTGTTGTGAGTAGGTCTCAGGCGCCGAGGGCGCATGTGTGCAGGGAAGAAATACTGCAGGGAGAAGCTCTGAAGGAGGGACAGTTCGTGGGCATCTACTCGTTGATGATATTGTATTTTTACACTTACTGGCTGTGGCTGTCGACGGTGGTGGATGTTCTTAAAACGGTTAAAAGAAAGAGAAACACAGGACACTCCTAGACTAGAGGGAAATCCCTTAAGAAATCAGGAGCCTGACGAGATAGTGTGACTTTCATGAGTTATACCCCCTAATAAATCTGTGCCATACAGTAAACCCAGGTTTCTGGGATTTGTACCAGTTTGATTTTCATGGATGAGACGACAATCTCCAGAACGCAATACTGGAGTGGGACAGTAGCCCTACTTCGTTTGCGATAGAAAGATTACAGTCTTGCCGATAATGTATAAATTTACTGTGCACATTTTGTTTGTTTGTTGTTGTTGAGCAAGATTGTACAAACTTGTACTGATTTTCTATTCTACTGTAAAAAGAAGAATCAATTAAATTTAAACTGTATAAACAATCATCATTGTTGAATTTTTCATGTTTAATTGAGAATTTACATCACATTTCTCCCGACATTCCCATAAACACTTCGCCCCCATCTTCAGCAGCAAGCGCAGAGTTCCAATTCAAAAGGTACCAATAACAGTCTGACTGTGTATCCGTCTCACCCTTTTCCTTGAGTGCTGATCGTTGACCAGATCCCCTGGACACTCCTTGCAGTACCATTCCCTTCAGACCATGATGATCCATCTCTGCTTACGCACTGTCCACTCGTCCCCACCCCGACCCCCTCCTCCCCCCCCAAAAAAAAAATAAACCTAACAACATCTATCTTGTCATGCATCTATTTACAACCAAGTTGTGTATCAACATGTAGCAGGTCCTTTGCAGAACGTCGCGCTCATCACTATTTGCAGAAACTTGATCGCTCGCCAGCTCTTTCGCCCCGTTTACTTTCATTTTCAAGGAGTCACTAATATCCTGAGCCCATCTTCGTGTTTGTCGGCCCCTGCACCTCTTTAAAGTCTGTCATGGCGCTTAACATGACCAAACTATTTCAGCGTTCGAAACATCGTTGTTAAAAACGAATTAAACCATTTCACATTAATTTTTATAAGAACAAAAATTGGCGAGGGAGAGAATTATATATGAGGTTGGCGTTGATGGCGATAATGATGGTGTAGATACTAAAGATGACAGACGGAACAAGTTAAAATTGATGAACTTAGTGCTAACTGACCTGCCTTGCTGTGTCCAGGATTTCCATCAAAGTTTGTTCTTCATCTATTATCATGTGATGTTTGTACGTCCGTTCTGAAATATAAAAAGTCAAAACTGGCAGGTGTAATTGAAAAGTTGGACGGTAAGGACATATTAACAGAGTTGTAGCTAGTCGTGTCCCAGATTTATTATGAATTGGAGGATGTAGTGAGGAATCTTAGTTATCGAAAGCCTTCTCTGAGGAATAATTCGGTTTATAAACAGTTTGGAAAAGAGGGAGGGGGCGTTTTGGTTTCTGAACAGAACCTCGGTTTCTGAACAGGCAATCCCAAAATAAGACACTTCTTGAGATGAGCTTGCTGGAGAAAAGCAATTTTCTTTCGGTGTGTATTCCTACATGAGAGTGCAATCTCTTTTCAAGATTTTCTTTGACACTGCTCACGCTCATCCTCTGGGGTGGGGGATAAGCTGGTGACGGAGATAGATATTTTCCACATTAAAGCTCCCGATGCTACTCCTCCTCAAATCCACCCTGTGATCGTTAAGTCCATGGCGAACTTTTAAATGTACTGGTCTGATTTATTTTGAAGTGACCCCTGGACACAGGTAACACTTTGGTATTTCTAGACAATAACATTCTCCATTGTTATATAATACCTGGCAAAGCTAGTGACCTACGTAACCATGAACCGGAAACAGAGTGCACTGTGGTCAGATTGCTTAGCAGACGAAGACACTGATGGCTATGACACATTGTGTGCTGCCATAATTTGTATTCCTGTACATAAGCTTTGGAGCTGACAGTGTCAAAATGGAGGAAATTGAAAGAACGCAAGAATGAGCTTTCTACGAAAGAACCGGCAAACTTCAGAAGGGGCAGAAAAACCGATGAGTTTTTATTCTTGAAAATTTACCCCAAGCTAAGGAAATCGCAGAGTTCCCGCCAAAGTCCAATATTCTAGGGGTGTTATTGGTTGGGGTTAGGCTTAGGGTTAGGGTTAGAGGTAGGGTAAGACGCTGTCTCTGAGGCGGTCGCGGCTGAAACAGATCACAACTTTAACACTAATCCCAAACCGTGACACCCCTAGAATACTGGACTTTCACGGGAACTTAGGTTTTCCTTTTTTTGGGGTGAATTAAAATTAAATTACTGGAAACAATTTCCTCGTTAAATTTTATTAATAACATCATCACTCTTTCGTGCTGTATAACAAGATTTAAATCTATTCGATAATATATCAGTTCACTGTACTCTTCTTTTCCATATGTTTAATGATTTTTCTTTTCACTAATATGTAAGAAATGTAGTTTTAAAATTTAAACTATGTAATGTTTGTTCAGAAATGAATTAATCCATTTCACATTAGCGTTTACCACGACGATGATCTCAATTTTCCAACAGCCACGTATCAGAAAAACCCTGAAGTACGAACTAAGTTTGAATGTTGCATATTGCATGTTGAATGCTGTATCAAGAATCGACATGATAGCACTCTGGACACTCCCATAAGCGCTCCTTTCCCATCTTTAGCAGCAAGCAAAGAGATCCAATTCCGATGACACCAGTAACTGTCTGATTATACATCCGTCTCACCCTTCCCTTAAGTGTTGAGCGTGGGTTAGATCCCCTGACAACTCCTTGCAGCGCCATTCTCCTTAGAACGCAATGATCTATTTTGGGAAGCTGCACTATTCATTCGCTCCCAAAGATCCTCACAAAATTTGGCTTGCCATACATCTGTTTACCACAAAGTGGTGCAAAACCGGTCTTTCTATCTGCCTGCTCGTTTCCCAACACAATAGCATAACTTTAAGAAAATATCGAAAGGATAACTACAAGAGACTTCTGAAGCAGTTCTTGCAACTCTGCACCGATCATGCCTATCTCCACCTTTCTCAACATGCTCTGTGAGTCAGTTACAATTATGACATGTGCGTTCAGCTGATTCTCAAGCCAGCAGAAGGCGGTAGTGACTGTCTCCACCTCCATTCTCAAACTAGACGTTGTGAATTAAGGCCGAGAACCGAGGTTAACGGCGGGATTAATTCATAATCACTAATGTGTGTGTGTGTGTTTTTTTTTTTTTGTCTCTTATATTTATGAATCCGTCTTGTTAACGATGCGTAAAAGCGACTGCAAATACTTTAGCAGGAAAACAAGGATCTCACCAGGAATAGTAGTAGGACAAAATTAATAATCATGTACAGAAATGGATCCTGTTTAAGTAAATGTAAAAGAAATGTTATTGACAGTAGGTGGTGACAGGCGCGGTTATACAAGAATCTAGACACATAGCATCTGATCCTAGGAAATCAAAATGCAGCCAGAAAACTGTATGTTATGGATAGGCAGACCAGGTTCCTAGCTTTGTCTGGCAGCTGATTTAGGAGGAAAGCTCCAAACATCAGACATACACAGCACTGCTCTTCTGATCGACAGGTACTGTGGTATGATTCATTCCATGTCTTTTAGAGTTAACAATGCATGCTTAGACAGGAGTCAGTCTGCATTGGCAACACAATGTCTCTATTACACTACACAGGCTTTATGCTCTGGAGAGGTGAAGCTTAAAGCGTACGAGATCCTGTTAACGCTATTGAAGCGTCAAGCTCATATTGCCAGACTTACAATTGACACTCTTTGGGTAATATTTTAAAAAGCCACCATGATCTCCTAAGATATTTGCTGACACCGTTTTAGGCTGTGTTGATATATGATCATAGGAGCAGATAGCAGACTGGTGTCTGGTTTAAGTGTAATCATAAGAGCAGATAGCAGACTGATGTCTGGTTCAAGTGTAATCATAGGAGCAGATGGCGGACTAATGACTGGTTCAAGTGTAATCATAGAAGCAGATAGCAGACTGATGTCTGGTTCAAGTGTAATCATAGGCGCAGATAGCGGACTAATGTCTGGTTCAAGTGTAATCATAGGAGCAGATGGCGGACTAATGTCTGGTTCAAGTGTAATCATAGGAGCAGATGGCGGACTAATGTCTGGTTCAAGTGTAATCATAGGAGCAGAGAGCGGACTAATGTCTGGTTCAAGTGTAATCATAGAAGCAGATGGCAGACTGATGTCTGGTTCAAGTGTAATCATAGGAGCAGATGGCGGACTAATGTCTGGTTCAAGTGTAATCATAGGAGCAGATAGCAGACTGGTGTCTGGTTCAAGTGTAATCATAGGAGCGATAGTGTGTATCACAAAATGAACGGTAGTTAATTAGGTATTGTACATTTGATTTGAGCATGCAAAAGTAATCTGGCTAGAAATGCTAACCACCACATGGCATACGCTGTCTTTTTGAGGTTTGAGTTTTTGAGGTTTTGAACAACTAATCAACATTATGGCACACGAGTAGTAACAAATTAGTGCTTCGTCCTTCTTCTAACTCAGGTCTGATTCCAGAGAAGCTCAGCACAGCGCACAGGCTCTGTAGCATCGGCGAGGATCCTGAAAAACTTTGGGTAGATTCTAAACTCCAAAATTTGCCAGGGCAACACCGTTAGGCTACTCGTTTCGATTTCAAACTGTCAGGGGATTTTTTACGTGCGCAACATTGCACAGGGGCGTCTTATCTCACTATCCAGAGACTAGGGAGAATTACTAGAAGTCCAAGTCCACGTGAAAAGATCACAGCCTTTAGCGGGGATTGAACACTGAGCCTCCAGCACTCAAAGCGGACACCATGCCTCGAGGTCACACAACCCCCTGTTGTATTTTTGACGGTTATAAACCTTTGCAATTTTCATTGTTTTTAATATCTCCCCTAAGTACTTGAAACAACATTTTCTGTTACTGAAGCAGTTAATAAGGACTATCATTGGTTTTACCGTTTTCCTTTGTATTGAAGAGGGCTTTCTTCTTCTTTCTTGTTTCGTTCGCCTGAAATAAGTTGTCTATATCAGCAGTTCTGTCTCTTGTATAAATTTCATTGTCGTTTTTAGTTCATTCTGTGGTCCATAGCGTTTACGTTCCACTGTTGTTCTTTCTGGCCAAAAGGTTTGCCTTAATGTGTCAAATTCGGTGCAGTCCTGGAGTACATGCTCTGCTGTCTGGGGCACATTTCCACAGGTGCACATGCCTGATACACCTATCTTGAATTTTGTGAACATGTGGTTACGTAATCGGGTGTGCCCTGTTCTGAGGGGAAGGATAATGACTTGTTCTGGTCTGTCCATAATAAAATAGTCGTCTTGTGCTGGGGCTGGTGGTTTCCTGATCGATTTAATGATTCTTCTCTTTTGGTGGTATGTGACTGGTACATCCGGCTGCTCTTTTGTCACACCTTCCCCTGCCAGTTGATTAGCTTTCTGCTTTCCAGGCACTTAACAATGAGACTGTATCTACTGCATTACGACTCTTCGCTGAAGGCTGAGTTGTGTCAGCAGTGTTTGCAATTCTGGTAGTTTCCTAGACAGGAGTGCTTTAAAAGACGGCTTTCCCATTTGATTTTCAGGGAGGCGATCGAACATAGGAAATGTTTGGTCACAGACTTCCTTTATTTCTGCGTTCACCTTTACAGTTGGAATTGGCACGTTGTATTGTGGTTTACAGCTAGACTGCGAAATCTGCGAACGTTCCACCCAACACGTCACGTTTAGGAAAACTCTAATTAGCCGCTTTCTTTTTTACGACATGATTTTTCGGGAGCGGTGGGCCTATTCCCCCACCCCCACCTCTCATTCCTGCTCCCCGCCCCACCCCCACACCCCTTTCAATTTGTCTTTCCAACTGGGTCTCGAAAGCCACATGGAAATAACGGGGACAAAACCTAGAAGAGATACGAATCACGAGACAATCAGACACATTTAAGAAATCGTGCAATGGTTAATTGACCAATGATATTCTCTGTTTATCTCTCCTTCCACGACGTGCCATGACGAGTTGAGTTGACGATTCATTCGCATTATTTGTTTTCCAACTTTCTTATTATAGTTAATGCATAACACAAAACCCTTAGTCTGCATAGTATGGTTACACAGGCGATGGAGTAAACATTATTGCAGATTCTCTGGAGTTAAAATGTATTTCAGTGTGTGTTTTTAACATCAGTCAGTTTAAAAACTAGGATGGATAGCAACCTGTTCTTCCCCACGTAACCGTTAACGGCACACTTGGAAACTAATCACAATCATGAGTGTTTAATTTTACATTTTGATTGCTGCTGTCTGCTTCCAGCAAGTGCAGTTTGTTTTTCTGAGATACAAACAAGAATATGTTGGTTAAGTAGAAATAACTGAGACAAAAACAAAAAATGCATTATTATCTTGATAAGAAACAAGGTGAGTATACTTGCTCTAAACAGTTGCATTCCCTTGTGTGCAATCTGTGGATGTGTCTTTTTCCCTGCATTTGTATCAAGGATTGTTTTGATTAAACTGTCAACATCATGACCATTGAAAATATTTCGAATCTGGATTAATTGAGTGGAACAGCGGAATTCCTCAACAAATGTAAGTAAATTGTACACTGTCGTGAGAAGATTGTACCGTTTGACACATTTGTAATATTTGTTGTAACTAATTTTTCTGATCAAAAGAGCAATTTTTACATTATCGTCACTGCACTAGGTGTACGATCAATTTATACATTATCGTCACTGCACTATAAGTAGGATCAGTTTATACATTATCGTCCCTGCACTATGGGGTAAGATCAATGTATATGTCGTTGTCAAGAAACGTAAGATCAATTTACAATTTATCATCTCTATCTGGGTTGGTATCCACGCTTTAGTTACACAGCCTGTAAGCAAAGCACATGTCTACAGTCAATCTTCATTATTCTGATGATAACCGTCTCTATTGTGATACTTCAGCAATGTCACAAATAACATCAGTGATATTCTATTTTTGCTGCTGCTGTCTCTGCTTCTTGTGCTAGGTCATCTGAATATTTCCTTTTATCTGTCCTTATTCGCCTTCTAACCTCTTATTAGCTTCTGCGCATTTCTCAGGAGCTCTAGCTTTACCTGATTACCCCCCAAGAATGCCAGCACTGGAAATTGTCACTGTTAACACCGTACACTTGTAACTCAAGTCCCAGCACACGTTAAAACCATTTAGATAATTGACATAATTCATTGGGTTATCCGAAGGCGCCCTGGAGCTGTGTCGTGTCTGAAAGATTGTGGGAGGTTTTCTACAAGCGTAGGAGATTGCTAACTGACATGTATGTTGTGATAGAGAAATTTGAACAGAGCAATGGCTATTCTGGCTACACGCTTCTAATTCCCAGCTGCTGACGAAGTTTTTAAAACTGGATGTCTGTTTTTGCCCCACTACCTCAAGCATACTCTTTGCATTGTTTTTTTCAACAAGGGCGGTTTTAAATTCAAAACTTCCGAATTTAACCAAAATTACATTAACTATGCCCTTGTCTTATAATCTGTCGGTAGCTTTTGTTAAGGATTTCTTTTTCTTTTGCGTTCATCCGAAGATGTAATTGCGTTGTGTCTGTTTACAGCAGGGCTGCGATATTTGCACCTTTCGGCCAACACATCCGACTTTTGCGGGCATTTGTTGACCAATTTAGCCTTAATTGCGTGATATTACGATGCAGACGAACACGGTGTCGTCATAATGATAGTTTAAAGATGACCCCCCACCCCCCTCTACCATCCTGACACAAAGCAAAGTGAAAAAAAAAAATTGTTTTCCGTTTTTTTTTTAATCAGCACTTACATAGTTCAAACTCGTCCTTGTGAAAGGAGAATAATAAGTTGTATCCAGGTGGAAGACGTAACTCTTCCGTCAAAGCAAAATGTTATTTTCCGGAGAGATTACATTTTTTTTTTGTACGTGACCTCCGGCAGGAGTATCCGGAGACGGCCGGGAGTTGTTACAGTACAGGCGTGGGAGAGTGCTGACTGACGTGTGTGTCGCGATAGGAAAGTACAGTATAAGCGTGGGTGAGTGCTGACTGACGTGTGTGTCGCAATTGTAAAGTACAGTACAAGCGTGGGAGAGTGCTGACTGACGTGTGTGTCGCGATAGAGAAGTTTTAACACAGCCGCACTTGTCTAGAATATACTTCTATAATGTGTAACTTTTGATGTAGCTTAAGATTTAATGTATTCATTTGTTGTATTTGTTTCTTGATAAATTGATTGTCATGTTTCTTTCTTTCTATTTTTCTTCTTTTTTTCTCTAACTTTCTTCAACTTTCTTTTTTCTTCTTTTACTTTCTATATTTCTTTCTTTCTTTCTTTCTTTCTTTCTTTCTTTCTTTCTTTCTTTCTTTCTTTCTTTCTTTCTTTCTTTCTTTCTTTCTTTCTTTCTTTCTTTCTTTCTTTCTTTCTTTCTTTCTTTCTTTCTTTCTTTCTTTCTTTCTTTCTTTCTTTCTTTCTTTCTTTCTTTCTTTCTTTCTTTCTTTCGCCTTTTATTGTCAGTTTTAGACTTCCATCAGCCATATTATACATAACGACATGAGTTAGTACCTGTGTGCTGACACCCACATACAAACAGGAGTTAGTATGAGTGTGCCGACACCTACATAATGTTTCTTCCCATAACGCACTGGCAGAGCGTTAAATTCTCCCATGTGGTTCGCACTTGTAGATATCTTTATTAGGCGTTTATTTCTCCATGACGCTGTCATCCTTCTACTCCATTACCATCTTTTAACGGCTGTCACATAATTATTTTCTCACTATTATACTGCCCCTTATTGATCCAGCTGCATACATTAGGACATGCTCCTTGTAACTTGTCTTTCTCGTTAAGGATGCACAGACGGGGAAAGAGAGCGAAAGGCTGGAGCTGAGGTTTGCCAAAACGAAAAACAAAACAAAACAGAAATCGCCGAGTCTGAGCGAGATTGTAGTAAAACCCTTTACATTCTACAAGATTTAATTTTGCTGACTTCGCATTTCATAATGAACGAGCATTTCATCATCCCGTACCCTCTACGTCATCTTCCGTCTCCACCGCTGACGTTTGTTTAGTCAATGTTCCTTACTGCAGGTGAGGCTCCGACAACCCACTCCCCCAAACCGTCCTTGCGCCGTTGGAGACCGACGAAGCTAACACCTCAGCACCCCACCCCCAAGCCGTAGTGCAAATTCAGGGTGAAAAATTGTTCCAGATTCATATCGAATACCTTACATTATACCGAATACCTTACATCATACTGAGTACTTTACACCATACCGAATACCTTACATCATACTAAATACCTTACACCATAACGAATACCTTACATCATACCGAATACCTTACATCATACTTAATAACTTACATCATACCGAATACCTTACATCATACTGAATAACTTACATCATACCAAATAACTTACATCATGCTGAATACCTTACATCGTATCGAATACCTTACATTTTAATGAATACCTTACGTCGTACCGAATACCTTACGTCATACCGAATACCTTACATCATATTGAATAACTTAAATCATACTGAATAATTTACATCGCGCTGAATACCTTACATCGTAGCGAATACCTTACACCGCACCGAAAACCTAATGTCGTACCGAATACCTTACGTCATACCAAATACCTTACATCATACCTAATACCTTACATCATACCGAATACCTTACATTATACCGAATACCTTACATTATACCAAATACCCTACATCAAACCGAATACCTGACGTCCTAACCAATACCTTACATCATACTGAATACCTTACATCATAAATAACAACTTACATCATACCGAATACCTTACATCATACCGAAAACTTTACATCATACCGAATACCTTACGTCGTACTAAATACCTTACATCATACCGAATATCTTACATTATACCGAATACCTCACGTCATACCGAATACCTTACATCATACTGAATACCTTATATCAGGGCTATTCAACTGATGACTCGAATGTCGAATCTGACCACAGAGCGCTAGCAAGTGGCCCACTGATTATTGACTTTGTGTTTCTTATCTGGTGCTTGAGTTTTTTTGGCTTGTAACGATTTCCCATGTCGGCATCTGTGGCTTGGGCGTTGCGATCGCGATTTGTAATGCCGAGGTGCCAGGTTCGATCCCAGCTGTGGACGAGTTGTCTTGCGTTGGTTTCGACAGTGGTACTGAGAGCTGACCTTGCAGTAGCAATGGCAAAGTACTGAACGTAAAATTTGGTTAGAAAAAAAAGAACATCCCCCCAAAAATTGCTATGGTTGGTTCTGCAACGTCCTGTAAAGGTTACACACCTAACTTTTTGTTTTGTTTTTTTACGATCCCTTTTTTTTTCAACATTTTAGCATTTGAGTAATAGTAATAGAACAGCACTGTACCACCTACGCCTGGTACGCTTCATTACAACTCATTTTTGTAAGCATGCAAACCATGTAGAGAAAATTCCAACTTATTTTTCTTCTTTCGTTCGCTTTAAATAAATTATCTATATCTGCAATGTAGTCTCTAGTATGAACTTCTTTTGCAATTCACTCTGCGACCCGTAAAGTTTGACTTGCACCGATGTTTCTCTTGGCCACAAGTTTCCTTGGTATATCATTTTTGGGACAGTATTATATAAATACAAAATCAAAATAAATACCAAATTCGAACTTAACAGCGGTTCAAACATGAAATGGACATGTAATTACGTTAATAAAACGGCGGCGCATTGAGTGTCGCAAGCCCGTTTACATATAACATTTGAGTAGTCAGAAGATAATATCTTGTTTCATTAACGTACCCATGAGTGCTATATAAAGCACATTAGGTATCACTTGCCCCCAAAATGGAAAGATATACCATGATACGGCGCCACACAAACGAATATATGTTTTGTATCCCCTAATGAAAAATACATCAGCCTTTACTTCCGTACGTAATAGGAAAATAAAACACACAGTTGTGTTGCCAATACAAATTGCAGTGTGTGTATAAACGAAGATAGCTGGTGGATACACTTTTTGTTTGCTTCGTAAATCTTTTTTGTGCACTTCGCATCCAACTCATAGATGCTCGGTCTCCCTCAGTTTGAGTACAGTACACTTATGCGACGGTATTTTCTACTCTTGCTTCTTCGCGTTCACAAGCTGTAAACTCCGGGTAAAAAGCTCTGGGTGTTCTCCACTTCTGAACTTTAGTCTTGCTTCAGAACAGTGTGTGGCGTGCACTTAGTTTCACAGATCTGGATTATTTGTATGCAGGCTTGTGGTCCCTTGCCTCCCATGCAGATGTACTCCGACGTAGAAGAATGTCCACAATTAGTCGACTTCTGCGGCATGCTTGTTGGGGAGACAGTAGGTCTGTTCTTGTTTTCTCCATAATGGGACCCTGGAACCCACTCGACCATGAAATTGTATGATATAATCACTAATGTAAATCTCTGGGAGAGAAATAAACAAGTTCCAGTGGACCAAGAGGTGAACAAAATGCGCTGGCTTTGGGTGGGGCAAACGCTGAGAAACCTGAGACTTTTCCGTAGTTGGTTGATTTTTGCGGCAATTGTTCTCACAGGAGGAGGTAGCGATTATCAAGCCCAAACTCACTCTTAGTAGTCTCTTACGACATGTCTGGTAGGACGCAGTGTTACTATTCTTTGCTTCACGTTAGGGTCCCGGTTACACACGGGCGATTAAGCAGAAATAGTCAAACGTGATTAGTTAAATCATCTTGTTTTGTCCTACTCAGTATGTCGTAAAGCGTTTCTTATATATCTCATGTGACATGTTGTCATTGTGCGCCTATGTTTTTCATAGAACTGACTACATCTGATAGTAAAAAATTGGTAGAATATTGATTT